ATATTAGCAACACTACCTTTTAAATGTATGGATTGTATCTGGGTTTATCTTACATACAAAATGTACTACCACAACGATGAGTGAATAAAACATATTAAACATACGAAAGATGGTTGATAATGAACACGTGACATACCACGATCTTTGGTGATATTAAACACATTATATACCAGGACAAAGGGTGATATGAACAGCCTGACATGCAACGACATTTGATATTAACTATGTGAGAAAAAATGTACCATGACAATGAGTGATATAAAACACGTGACATACCATGATAATGAGTGATATTAAACACGTGACATACCATGACAATGGGTGATATTAATCATGTGACATACCACGACAATGGATGATATAAAACACGTGACATACCATGATAATGAGTGATATTAAACACGTGACATACCATGACAATGGGTGATATTAATCATGTGACATACCACGACAATGGATGATATTAAACACGTGACATACCATGATAATGAGTGATATTTAACACGTGGCATACAATGACAATGGGTGGTATTAAACACGTGACATACCATGACAATGGGTGGTTTTAAACACGTGACATACCATGACAATGGGTGATATTAAACACGTGACATACCATGACAATGAGTGATATTAAACAAGTGACATACCATGACAATGGGTGATATTAAACACGTGACATACCATGGCAATGGGTGATATTAAACACGTGACATACCATGACAATGTGTGATATTGAACACGTGACATACTAAGACCACGGATGGTATCGAGTGCGTTAAATACTACGACAATAGGTGATATTACCCACGTTAGATACAATTTACCACGACAATAGGTAATATTAAACAAGTGACGAATGACGAGTTTAAACAAAAAGACATCTTAATCAGGAATTCAATAGCCCAGCTTTATAAAATACCAATGACAATACCATAATGGTTCATATTATAATGACTCTTACATGTCTTCCTATTGATATGTTATGTAATTGACACGCAACAAAAATTGATTAATCTTTGTTTTATAATAATCACTATTTTGTGATTAAGATGGAAATAACCGTAATGATTGCATGTTAGTATTTGGGGACGACAAGCTACTTCTCAGTGTCGGTATCAGCATTATCAAATATACGTTTAAAACAGTATAAATTTCAGGTATGCCTTTCCAAATGTATCACTAGTGAAGGTTTATACCGCCTGTTTCACTGCATTCGATCCTTTTTAAAGGATTTTATCCCGCCTTCCTGTATTTAAAGGCATGATATTTCACCTACCTACATTTTTAGCTTTCTATCTGACCTAACAGTAATGTTCTTATGTTTCTTTTTTTGAGATGTAAAAGTGCATGTCATTTAACATGTAAGCTTTTCTACAAAGCACTGACTTTTTACCTGATATACTTTTCATTATACTGTTTATTACTCTATATATTCTATCCTATGTGTTTTATAACTGATACCCTTATACCAAAAGTTACAAAATGTGTTCCTGGCCACTAAATTCCTTTTTACAACAACCATGTCGACAAACTACATACAGACGCTTCTGATAAAATCATTTTGATAATTTGCTTCTTTGTAAGTTAGAAGTACTCAAGAAAGACTTGGGGATGTGATTGAAACCCGGACAATAAGATAGGTGGTAAGTGTTTCGTGTAAACACCAGTAAACACTTCCTAACAATATTTAAACTGGGAAACAATTAATAAAATTTGACAAATTTAGTCAATATTTGATTTCGATGTCGAGGAATGTTTGTAAAGAATAGGTTTTTAGGCTCTCTATGTCTGGAACCAGTGGTGGGTTCAGTGTGTTTGAACACTTACACCACCCTTTAACGGTCAGTGTTTGTATTGACCCAGCATACCTAGACATTGTCGACTTTGAAACATTCCTCTGGCCTTGTAATATAGGAAAATAATACCAAGCATGTTTTGGTGTTTCAACTACACAAACTGGCAATATCATATTAACACTTAAATTGTGGGAAATTTATAATTTTATTTTGATTGGAACGTGGTTATTTTGAATTTTGAAGTCATTACATCTAATTCAAGGAAGAGTCGTTGATGTAGTTAACAAATTTCAAAATACTATCCTTCGTTTAATAAACCTGGGTTTTCTTAAAAGAAACAATGTTCTATGTGAAGTGATATTTTCTACAGTGAAAATCAGGGGCGGATAGTTTTGTTGATAAAAAGTAAAATGTTCAACATTTCTTGGTGGATACCACTTGTATCCAAACTTATAAATAAACTAGACACGGCAGTGCATCAACTTGAATCGTGTAGATGGTATTTGTTTCATGATAAAATATTTATTCTACCATAACTTGTATGTCACGTTTTAATTATCCGGATAGTGGCCCGGTTCAGAATTTACATGTCCTTGACGTTCTTTAAGAATGATCATTTACAAATGTGTGTGAAAATTTTGAAATTTACTGAATTTTAGAACTAGTGTACCTCCCTATCTTGACATTGACTTAAACCATTTTGGATCTTCCTCAGTTGCCTCCTAGTATTAATATTTTGGCCCTAAGCATCACTAGAAGGACGAAAAGCTGTATGATGCAGTTTAATTCAATGTTTGGCTCTTCTGTATCGTATATCTAAATCTGTAATAAATGGAGTTATTCATTTGTGTGTCTTTTCTACAATGTTATTAAAAGGAAAGTGTTCATATGATATACACCATTCATAAACTCATAAAGAGTGTTTTCTGACTCACAGCTTTTCTGTCAATATTTTTGTTAACATGACATGTCTTTTATAACTGATGAGATCAGCACCCATCTAAAGCTTCAGATCAACTTAGTTGAATAATTGGACTAGTAGCTCTCTCAAATCTTATTTTTGCAACTCTTACGATCACATTTGATTATCCTCAGTCGCCCCTAGGTTTCGAAATGTAGATCCTCAGTATCACTGACGATTACAAAAAGCAGGCAACAGTTGATTGGTGCAGCTTAATTAATTATTTGACTCTACTGTATCTAATTCTCATTTCTTATCTATATTCATCTGTGTGTCTTTGGTATAATCTTTAAATATTTGGAAAAAAATACATGGACATGATAATGCTTTATGGTTTGATCAATGATAATGACGATAATAAAATATCTAGATGATATGATTTTTTTTTTTTTTTCATTTACCGGGTCTATGACGATTTTATCAATGTATCGAAAGTGACTGTACAGATGACACACACGTAAACAGCATATTTCAATTTAGACCTCTCAGCTTTGTAACATCTGCTCAAGCACTCATATGGCTCTATGTTTGTACAAAAGACACACAAATGAATATTCAGTTTAATACAAATTTATAATTAGATATAGCATATCTGTGTACTGATTTAAAGTGCATCATACAGCTATTTCGTACTTTCCAGACTCGTCAGTGTTACTTAGGGCCTAAAATATTGAAACCTAAGAGACTACTACGGAAATCTAGACAGGAAAATACCTAAGCAAATCAAGTTGATTGGATTTTGCTTTTTATCAATCATATACTATCTCATACCTATAACTTTAAATGTGTGATATACAATCGAACATATTCTACAATGGGGAATATTTAAGGAGCTTGATATTTCAACACAATGGAAAAGAACTTCGGAAGGTTATTTCACAAATTAGGTGAAAACCTGAAACAATGAAGAAATTATTTATACATATCCTATTTCCAATAGTTGTTTGATGTTTTATGTATGTCGGGAACATGGCGTTACTTGAATTGTCCAAGGTTTACATGACTGGTTTCATCAAAGAAGTAGAATGAGCTAACTCTTCCGGAATATCTGGTCTTATATTCTTTGTTCATAGGCCAACGTGTAAATCTTTCATTGTCCCAATTTCACCCCATATTCATTTAAGTAGATTTTGAATTATGATTATGTTAACATATTAGTATTTTCCTAGTTGCTTTAATTCATTACTTTCTCTCCCTCTCCCCTTTAATTCTTTTGCACAATTCGTCATGTTTGAAGTATTGTTCTCTGATATTTCATGGAAAATGGTATGTTTTATGAAATCATATAAAAATGCTATTTTTTAATGATATGCTCTGAATTCTTGTGATTTAACCCCATGTCGTTTATTTTCGTCTTTTTAAGATTGTGTAATATATTCCACAAATGAACAGGCAATGTCAACAGTCTAACGAGTACTAATATTATCCTTAATGTCCGCCCATGCGACGTGCCTTGGCAGGTGTGGTTCTGATAGGGGGAGTGGGAGAAGGAAAAAGTAATAAAATGCACATCTGGTTGTTACCTCTTACTATCAATGAGTCAGTGTACAGGTGTCGACGGCATTCCATATACATGTTCTCACCATGTACTCCACAATTAAATAAATCCTGCTTCAACATCGTTCCTTAGCGTAGTGAAACTCCTTAATTTCGGTTTTTAAATGTTAAGGAAAGTGATTTTACGTAAACTCTTGGAATGATTTCAATTTGAAAAAAATATATAAAGAGCCTCGTTAACTGAGCGCCGGCCTTGGCCTAGTTATTTTAAGGACGTATGCATACTAACGTTTGCAAGAGTTTTCTCCCATTATTTTTTTCATTAAACCTTATATCTAAATTTAACTATCTATATTTATACTCATAAATTTAAATTTATCACTGCATACACTTCTGTCATATCGTTTTTTAAATGTGTATTCGTTTCGTTAACCAAACGATAGTTTTAATTACAAATATATACATAAGTTATAAAATACTAATAGTTTATTGAATTTATCAATTATAATTTCCTAACATTTTGCGTGCTACTCTTTTATCTTCATTTATACAGTTTTGTTTTTGTTTTGGACTTTTCAAACTTTTTCGCATAAACTTCTTCTTTAGAAACATGAACCTGAGTTACGTATTGATATAGTCATTTATATAGATAACCATACATATAACAAGTTTATGTATATAAGACAATGTATAATATCATAATACCTTGTTACTATATATACACCGTTTTCTAAAGTACTTACTCTCTCCGGGACATGATTTACAGCATTTTCCTGGAAGAAGAACTGGATTCGGGCAATTAGGTAGCGGGCACTCATTCTCGATTTTGACGCATCTCACTTTCCCATAGTGATGTAAAATGCCTTTCTTCATTAACTGTGCAACAAAATAGTATTTTAATTTATCATTTATGCATTTTACAATATTAGAAATTACATTATTTCAAAAATATTTAATTATATGTATATCTATGTATTGAATGAGACATCGACAAGTATTATCAAATCATCATGCACTGTATACTAAGATAGATAAAAACTGCACATATATAAATATTATGTATTCAAAAAGTTTGAAAAGCATTAGATTACATAAATATGACATGAATCACACACAATATAACAAAATATATCACGTGTAGCAAGACATGCTAATCAAATAAACATTATAACACACCTGTTATATAGATAATTGCACATATTCTGCATGAAGAACATGCTTAATGCTATTGCTTTAAAATAATTAATTTTCGTAGAGGACATATTATCACTGGTTTCGCGAGTACTGCTAATCAATAAAATCATGTGCCCACGAATCAATTAAAAATTGAAGTCAGAATCAGTAGTACGATTTCGAAGGTACTATTTTTGTATAAAATCCTGTCCTCGAAAATGTAGCTTCCGCGAAAAATGATGTGGTTTTGCAGTATCCTTAAACCATTTATGAAACACTACAAACATTTTCACATTTCATAATCTATAGATATGTCTGATATCAGTATAGGACATCACGACAAGTTTTTAACGATGATGATGGGGACAGTGTACCAAAAGGGAATGGGATTTCCTGGAGTAAGGTTTCTAGGATGTATTTGTTTGTTCATTATCCTTCAGAACAATGTATACTGCACAATAATCACACTGTGTTTAAATGGTCACATAGGCAAAGTTTGTTTTTAGATATTTCATTATCAAATATTAACTATTTCTTACTTTGTTTAATAATTACTTGTCATGTGACACCCCCACCCGACAACAAGAAACATCACAACATAGCCAGCACCTTGATGTCTGTATGGAATTTCTACAACGTAACACTTAACACCATCAGAGGACATTGTGCGTGGACACGGTCAGGAATACTGTGTACCGCCAGGCACAGTTATCTAGGTACCTAGTAGAGACGAGAGAGAGTTTCAATCAGACAGGGGAAAATCTACCCAGCCATTTATACTAGGTCAGGTCATAGCTTGCTTAATATTTGGTCAATTTCGTTCATCAAGCATTTATTGGAAAGATAAAACATTTCTCGTAATTGTAATGTATGTGTTACTAAGTTACTAAGTTCTAGAATATCAAAAAACATCATTTAAGAATGTGTTCAGTTTTCCCTTCTCGGGAGTTACAACCCTTGCTACTGTAATACATATATATGGACCGTAGGTCGGGTATTGTGCCAAGTCCTCGTGGAGGCGATTGAGTTAAATTGAAATTAATCGAAATAAATTGATATGGGGAGGTTATTACCACCATAATTCAACCAATTGCGTAATTTTCATACATCTGATAATTCACACCAGAAACGTCATGCAAATATGTATATTCTGAAACGTCCCGATATTCCAATGAGTAAAGGTGTGGCCTGGTGGTTCCACCAACAGAGACCGTCACCTCAAATAAACTAAAATCCTGTAACTGATCATCATAAGCCGATATTGTAGTAATTTACAAATCAAAATATTTATTTTTGATTTGCTTTTAAATTCGAGTTATTTCGTGTTTGCAATAAATCGATATATCTTTATGACGATTCCATAGAATATGCCTTGAACTGCAAATTAGGTGTATATATATATATATATATATATAGAGAGAGAGAGAGAGAGAGAGAGAGAGAGAGAGAGAATTAATCACTTAACATGACAAACAAATATATATTTGTTTGTCATGTCAAGTGATTAATTTTCTCTGTATATACGATACACAAAGTTTTTATCTTTTTAAATTATATATATATATAGGTATCTCTCAATTATGCAACATTCAACCAAACTAAAAATTATCGATAAGTTCGTATAAACCATAGGATAAAAAAATCAAATTAACGAAAAATTATGAAAAAGGGGAAAAAACTGCATGCTGGTGTGGCGATATATACGTTAGTAGATTTTAAGTTGAAACCCAATAAAACCCTACAGAAAATGATTCTCTTCCCCATTAATTCACCACGGTGACGAAGGACTTTTCAGGAACATAGTATGTTAATCTCGAAAGTGGCAATAATGTACGACTCCATCCCTTTTATAACAGAGACAACAATTAGTCACACTACTTTACATGGGATTGAGGTTTAGTGGTTTAGGCATGAATAAATCACGAGAGTGACACTGATAGTGGTCTCTACCGTATACCTTTAGGACGTGGATTCATTTTACATGATATCCTTACTGAAGTTTGATCAAGATGCTACGGTTTAATTTCGCATAAAACATTCTATGCTGGTAAAACCAATGTTTTCATACATTGTCAGCTTTAAAATTTTAAAAAAAGGTATTTTTCGGTTAGTATTTCTTATCTAAATTAACGAGATGTCTAAACATGATACCATTTCTACAAAAACTAAAATAAAATTATTTTTCAACTTTTGTTTAAAATGTTTTATATCAGTTACTTTTCAGCATACGGTTTTTATGATGAAGTTGACAAATCTTAGAGCCTCATGTCTAAGTGTTATTACAAATGTTGAAAAGATTAGGAAATGAGGTACATGTAAAATAGATTTTACAATTTTAACAAAAGATCAAAAAGAATCGACAGGCAATATGTTATGTTTTCACAAAATAATTACGCCGTGACACCTGGGATAAGACATGAACTTCCGGTTGACGAATAGAATCGAGATCGCGATTGACGATACGATATGTTTAATTTCGAAGCATGCTTTTATATATTTAAACAACTATATAAATGCAGGTTAACTGAAATATGTTATGCTTTTTACAACAGATGATCAACACTGTCAATGTACGAGAACGTCATTTGAACAGATAAAACTAACTTTAAAGCTGATTTGTATAGATTCAATTGTTGTATAGAGAATTGTGTTTGGGGAGCTTGGCGTGAGTTATTTAACTAAAACACGTATTTCTCAATTTCTTCAATTTTATTCCAGCAAAAAGTAAAGTACAACTAAAATAAGAACCAAATATACACCATCAGTGAATATCCGGAATTTATCGTTTTGTGTGTTGGTATTTCCGTGTTTCCGTATCGTCTCACTGTTGGTTCTTGTTTTAGTTGTACTTTACTTTTTGCCGGAATAAAATTAAAGAGATTGAGAAACACGTGTTCTAGTTAAACAACTCACGCCAAGCTCCCCAAACACAATTCTCTATACAACATGGTGGAGAATCCGGGTATTCATTGACGCTGTATATAGAACACAATTGCTATGAATTTACGTTACTAGTAATTCTTTTAAAAACTTCTCCGTGACTTAAATATTGACAACCTTATACAGCCCATGTGACAATATTTCCACTATTCGTCATAATTACAGAGATTTGTGCCAAATCACTGTCATTTTCATTTCTGTTCTCAATGTGTTTCTACTGATGTCGGAGAGAATAAAAGATTAATTTTATTGACACGACAACAACAAACCCTCATCTACAATGATCCTTTCAGCTCTACAAAAACCCTACAAAATCTGGCGATTCAATCTGACTAAATAAAACAAACAATTCCGCTGATAAAGGTAATGTTTTACTTACCAAGAGAGAGCATTTGACACAGGCATGAAACAACTTCAAAGAAATTGAAAAGCATGCCAAATTTGATTAAAAGTTAACTGAAAAGGTAAAATGTTTTGAATTTGAATCATTTGAAATTCCTTAAACTAACTTCCCATCTTATCACGTATACAGGATTAATCCTCTCTTTTATATATTCATTAAACATGTAGCTTTAAAATTAGAAGGGAGCTTTATCTGTTAGCCGGCAAACCTTTTCACACCTCCCAATCTCATGTATGTCATTCATATTATCAAGAGGGGGATTCGGATGCCATTGTGCCCTTAATCCGTCCCTATTCACACACAATCATATCCCAGTCCCACTCGAGTCGATGTCGGTCTGTGAAAGCCGCTAGATTGGCTGACACTGTAACAATTTTCCTATACATCTCGACAAATTTAATCCTTCCGTGATAAATTATTCTAACGAAAAAGATCTTAATGAAAAGATTGTCCCTCTCTCCACCCCATGCCTCCTCACGCCTGCCGATACAAGAGCACAGTTTGTTTACACAATTAGTAGTAATCTATTGCCGATAATTCTTCAAGTCCCTGACAGAGAAGGCCCAATCCTCGGGGAAAAACGAGAGAAAATTGGAAAAACCAGCAGTCGGTTTCTTTAAGCTTTCTGTAGGTGATGCAGAATTTGTAGCTTTCGTGCTATTTATATTCATTACTAACCCTGTTTTTTTGTACATTTTATAACGAAAAATTTAATTAAGAAATGAAGAACGAGTTTCGCAATAATTAGAATAAAAAACTATTTTTATCATAGCTTAAAAGTGATGAATAATGAACTGGTATATTTTCACATCTACTATAACAATTTTGTAAGAATTTGATTACACGGGCATAAAACATACCCATCACAACTCCATCGCTTTCACATGTGAAATAACCAAATTTCTACCACTGAAAAATTCCACAGCTAATTTAAGAATTAACGTTGCTGATTTTCTCTATCCAATATCGTGTTCGAAACCAAGTGAACTCTTATTTTTAAATCCTTTCATTATTTTCTCGTGATTTACCTGATTTCTATATAAATGGAATGTGTATCCTCCTAAACATGAATATCAAAATCGTCAATGCAAGCATTATGATGTCTAACTTGTTCGTTTGCTTTCAGCTTTACATTTATAACAGAAAAAGGTCAAAATAGAAAAAGATAGTGTGGTATCATCTTATTCCAATATAATTCTAAATCAGAATATGATAGTATTGTACCCGTTTTTATAATTAATTAATAATAATGACATTTTCATTGAGTTTGACTACCGACATGTCTGACTTGATAACATCATTTTCAATTTGGTGATAAAAATATTATCAAAACCAAGAGTTACAACAAATTTCTGAATCA